CTATAAAGATTTCCCCACTTGGACCTAATAAAAATACAAGACTTAAATCTACATTCGGTTAAAGTAAAGGTCCTCGGGGATTAAATAGGTGATCTCTCATCTAAGAAACATTGATCCACAGTTTAATATAAACACGTAGGCATTGTAAAAGTGGGTCAGCCTTTAATCTCCAGGTGCATTACTCAACGTCTCCACGCCAAACTCGCCGGATACTTTTGTAAATCAGCTACTTTGTCTTTCTCAGATGTGTTAGTTCTGACAACTTGAGTGAACGACCACAGCAAGTGTGAAATGTTTACGTGACACTTGAAACTCAAACGAGTTGAATATGACACTTTGTTTATTTTCTTATGACAAACAAGGGTAACCTGTAGGCGACTTAAAAGTACGAAACTCGGTCTAAAATTCCTCGACACATTATGACAGCTTCGTGTTTTATAACAGCAGACATTAGGCACGGTGGCAACCTGAGCTACTCACCTGACTTGGGATACGTTACAATGAGAACATCATCAGGGCGAAAAGTGAAGTCCTCGTAGTATTTGAGGCTCTCTTGGGGGTGCAGAAGTGAGGGCAGATAGACCCCCTTGTACAGGGTGTACAACTCTGCCTCAGTCATTGTGAGGAAGAAAATTCTAAGACTGTCTGCTGTTGTAGGAGGGTAGCCAAAGTTTCATGCTGCGTTCACGCTCTCCTCGGACTGTCCCTTTCTCCGAGTTGGTTTTTAAGTGTTTCGACTTTGTGTTGGCGAGCTCTAGTTTATTTACAGTCTATGGTTGTAACGTGGATACAACGTAGGCGATAGAAAATAATGTTGTTTTTTTTTAAAGAAAAGGATCTATGTCACTGGATCGTGGACAACAAATGATGATTAAGTAGCCTATTTTATCTTATTAAGCCTACAATATCGCTAAGACGTTAATCCACGTGAGAACTAGGCTATATAATTACATTTAGATTATTAACTTAACGTTTTAGTCTCCTTGCTTTAGGGTAATATCATGTTAAGACTTGTATCCATGTTTTTTCCGACTCTCCGATTTGATGTTCCAATTTAAGGAAACCCAATCCTGATTTTTCACAGTCGAAGAGCGACTTTTCCCCTCCCTCCCTCCTCCCTCTCTCTTCTCCTCTCTCTCTCTCCCTGGCGCTCTCTCTCTCTCTCTCTCCCTCTCCCTGGCGCTCTCTCTCTCTCTCTCCCTGGCGCTCTCTCTCTCTCTCTCGTCTCTCTCTCTCTCTCTCCCTGGCGCTCTCTCTCTCTCTCTCTCTCTCGCTCTCTCTCTCTCTTCTCTCTCTCTCGTATTAAAATGGAATGTGCATAGCAGTGCAATAATTGGACTTTTAAGAAAATGTTCCTATATGAAGTAAAATAGTTTTATGCCTTTGTGCTCCATAAGTTATGTGTTTATGTGTTCTATATGTCCAATAATCCTCCATAAGTTTTCTTTAGCCTTAATATACTGTGTGCGTTTTCTGTGATGTTTTAAAGTTTCAAGTGTGTAAATCTAATTGGAAGTCTTGTGTTAGGTTAATAGAGTCAAATGTAAAAAAAACAAAACAAAAAAACAATCACTTTAAATTGAAGACTGTGTTGTTTTGTGTTGCAGCCAATGCACTAAGTGGAGGTGGAGGCAAGGGAGTGCACTTTAAAAGCAACTTGGATAAATTGGTTTTTAAACCTAAGTAAGTGGGAGTAAGTAACTTTTGCAGGAGGACGATTTATTCTCAGCCATTTAAAAAAAAAACATCTTTGTGTATTTTGTCTGAACTGAAGAAATAAAAAACCTTTCACCAGACAATTTCTGTAGACAAGAGAGAATAGTTTTGGTCAAAACAGTTATTCCCGAGTTAATATAAATACACAAATAGAGGATTAAAATGTATTTATTACTGCAACATCAAACAGACATGAGCTAATACAACGAGCAGTGAAAGGAAAATCAAAACTGAACCTGATAGCTTAAAGAAAAACATGTTGGTATCGCTGTGACTGTGAACCTGCGATAATAAGAGCTCATGAAAAGATCTGGTTATGGATGAATGACATTAAATAAATGTGACAATATTCAATTCAAAACTGCTTTTATCAACAACATTCATCCCGTATCCCATCAGTTTATGCAAAGATTGGCAAACAATGACACATCAGTTAGTTATTGTTGTTTTTGCACAGACAAATGTTGAATGCCGTGTTGCAGTGATCTCATGTTAACAGCAGACTAGTATATCTAATGAACTTTACAATGGGGTCATGCTGAGATAGTGTTATTAGAAGTAAAAAGGGGAACCAGTCTGTAGCAGGCGAGTTGACATTCAGGTAACAGCACCTTCTTGTTTGTCCAGGTCTCTCACGTGCTGAGATTTCCTTCCAAATGATGTTCAAGCTGCCCCTCACCTGTAGTTTTCTAGCAGCGACTTTCAGTGTGACTATATGGAAGACTTTGTGATTGGTGGATGTCAAGCAATGGATAAGTATCCTTCTGCATCTGGTTTAAGAGTTCTATCATCCTGCTCAACATGAAGGCTTGAATAGAGCCAGGCTCGGTCCAGAAAGCAACTGACAGCAGAGATGACTGAATGTCAACGAGATCTTCTACTCTTCTTCAAGTGGTGCATTTAATGTCTCTGTGAAAAGACGCTGTCAGCAATCAGCCTTTATAGCCTTAGACATCCATTCAGATCTGGCCACCAGTAACCTCAGTCTATCACCTGACTGGATCAGCTCCTTTCCACTGACAGAAACATAACAACAAACTGTTATCCAAATGAGATGATTTAACATCCGTTGCTCAGATCTACAGGTAAACCTATACTTACCTCTGGTAGTCCATTCCGAGCAGACTGACTCCATTAACAGCCAGGATCCGGTCTCCTGGCAGCAGCTTCTCACAGCGGGCTGCAGGAGAGTCTGGGACCACTGCACGGATAAAAACGCCTTTCACCCTCATGTTGGTGTCCTGAAAGAGAAGGGCCAAAGTTAGTGCGCGACTACACGATTCAAATTGTCACCCTCACTTGTCTGCACTAAAATTACTAGCTGGTTAAACAAATTATTGTAAGATGGAGATGAGATTTATTTTTGTGAAACTTTATTTTATAGATCTTTATTTTTCTCAGGTTGAGATGATATACATTATTTAATTTAATGCTAATCCATTTATATTTACATTTTGTACTTTGCAAGAGTATCTGTTTGATATGATGCACTTTGTCTTTAAGGTTACTCATGGTTACGGTTGGAGGAGTGATATTGCTTAAAGACAAGTAATGTGTTGCTGTTGTTGTTCCCGTGCTTTTGCTTACCCACACCCGAAGATATATTTAATCAAGTATGTTTAGTGTTATAGTTAACGGAAAGACAACCCAGGATTAAATCAACATCATCCAAGAAGTGCCGTTACATTATTAACATTTTTACATGTTGGCCCTCAATCCCTGTCAAGTGTTGTGTCTCAGCTGTAACACATCCTCTTGCCACTAGATGGGGCTGTCGACCCAGTTTATGGGCCGTCTCTCCTCCGCTCCACTGCCTAAATGTCACGAACAGATGGCGTCTCATAGGAGCAGCATTTAGCAATATTTTGATGAAGAAAATTGAGATAAAGCTGTAAGTAGGCTGTGCTAGGTTAAACTGGCATACTGACCAGAGGAATAGTAACCACATTAATGCTGCATTCAGGTGCTGCTCGAGTGGTCCAAGTTTCCGAGTTTGGAAGTCGTTCTTCCGACTTCAGTGTGTTCAAGTGATTTCAGTTCGGAAAGTCGGAATGTTGTAACAACAGCAAAAAAACAGCGTTGATGCTACGAAGAAGAAGATCAGTGAAATGTCACTGTTAAAAGTTATATTTGAGCAAAAAGTTGATGTGCAATAACTGAATTAATAAAACAATTGTTAACATTAACAAAACATATTTTGCCCCCCATGTAATGACGATTCTGACGTCAAGTCGGGAAGTCGGGCACCTAATTCTTTTCCCAGTTTCCGAGTTGTTGTTCCGACTTGAGCATGAATGCAGCAGAAGCACAGGCATGATGTGCCATGGGTTTATTTTATAGGGGGCGCTACAACTATAAAATGAAGGATTTCTCTGGCTTTGATAACCGTTGGAAATATTTGAGCTAATTTAAGTACTCAACAACAAAATATATAAAACATTTTTAGGATTAATCCATTTTTAATGAGGTATATTTAAGTGTAAACAATTTAGATATTAAACCTTTAGCTATTTTTGTACATTACTTTTTAACGACTATCGCCACCATAACCAGGTCGGTGTTGATGCCAAAACAGCTTTGTTTAATTTTCCACAGCAAAGTTCCACAGTGAGTGAAAGTAGGACGATGCATTTCCACAGGAAACACAAAGCATACATGTAAGAAATCCCCAAAGAGATCATTTGTACCCCTTCGTCCACAGGGGTCAGCGAGATTGACGCGTAATGAAAATTCCTAACGGGAGCTTAACGTAAACAGTTTTTCATTTAATGTTAGCGCATGTCTTTCACTCACCCTTGTGTCAATCAGAGCAAGACCAACTCCACAGGCACCTCGCTCCAGCTCCAAACTAAAAAGCTCATAGTCTTTGTCATCATAATGGTCCTTGGCCTCTTCCTCCGCCTGATTCTCCTCTTCCTCTTTAAGCTTAACAAATCTCTTCAAACTGGGGTACTCTGATTTCAAAGAGTCTCCTTTCAGTGCAGACAGACATTCAAACACTAATCCACCTGAGGAGAAAAACAAGGGACTTGATGAGTTTTCTTGTACTACAGACGAACAGTAGGCTGGAGATTTCTCTCAGTACTATACCTTTCTCATGTGCATCCACACCGGACGACCAGGGGAGGGCCTCACTCTCACCCCTCACCCATTTATCTGCCTTCACCAAATCGATAGGATGAATGATGTGGGGGGTGTTAGGTGGGGTGGGGAGACAGGTCGGGTCCAGAGCTGACCTCCTCGTTGAACCCGTGTCGGTCTCTCTGCTCTGCATCTCCAGATTTCTGAGCTTATGGGACAAAAGGAGGGCACCGCAGGAGCCGATCTCATTAAAGTACTGAGCGGGGGGAGGAGAGTGTGGTGATGGGGGTGTTGGAGGTAAGGGAGCAGAGGGAGCAGAGGGGAATTGGAGTTCATGGACAGTAGACAGAGATGACACCATTTCAGGAGCCGATTTGTCCAAGGATTCCTGACTGGCTGCTGGTCGGATATCCATCTTAATCAGTTTGACCTCGCTGGGATTGGTACCAACCTGGAGGACAGAAAGCATGAAACATTTAGGCTGAATAAAAAATGTTTACATCTATTCTATAAGACAGATCCATGGGAAAGTAATGCGCATTGTCTTACTTGCAGTGAACAAACTGCCATTGCACAACCAGGTGATCTAATTGTGAATGAATTGAAGTTATCTTTTAGAAAGGGGCATTTCCTTTTAATCGCAGCAGTGACGTTGGAAAAATAGCCTATCAGTGGTGGTCTTGACCGCCCACCCATCGGAGACTGAGACAAGACCGATTTAAAATGCTTTCAATATCCCAGATGAGACCAAGACCTTAAAAAAGTGGTCTCGAGACCAGTCTGAAGACCAAGACCAATTTCAAGTACTACAACACTTTTATAGTTTACTACAAAGTGAGTGATTTCAGACACAGCCAATGAAAGTTCTTTTAAAGAGGAAGGCTAAGTTCCATCAGGTTTTAAAGAGCCCAAATTATGCCCTTTTTGGGGTTCGTATATTTAATCTATGTATCTACTTTTGTACGTTCACAATGGCTAAAGTTTGAAAAAAGTGTCTGTTTTCATGTACTGCTCCTCCTTGCTCCCTCCACGCTCTGAGTCCGTCAGCTGCACTCTGTTGAGCCCACACTGTTAGACCCCACGTGGGCCAAGTCTGCTCTGATTGGTCTGCCGATCCGCAAGCTGCTGGGCTTGCCACAACGAGCCAATGGGCTTAGCTCAGTGATCTCACACTGACAATGACGCCGCACTGACAAATTTTTATCGAGGGGGGCTAGAACCGAGCGTTACATGCAGCTAATGCTACAGCTAACAGGAGGACGTAGGAGAAGCTGCGTTTCCACGGACTTTGAATTTTTGCACATAGACGTGCCTAAACATGCACAGGACACTTGGAAAACACACTAAAGGGCATATAAAACCAGAAAAAGCATAATATGGGACCTTTAATGTGCAATAAGCTATCTCTCTAACTGCAGTAAAGCTGAGAAACAGCATCAGTCATATTTCTGAACTTTTATCAGGACGGCACAACAGATTGCATTTTTGTACCTTTTGCTCATCAGTTGCGTTGACCACCTCATACTTTGAGTCAGAGAGGGTGCAAATGAACTCCTTGAGCTTGTCCAGCTGCTCACTCAGCCACACATCTGTGACCTCGCTTCTCAGTTGGAACTGGTAACCACTGTCTGGCAGCACAAGAGGATGATGGGTGTCGAAACTCTCCAGGATGTCATCTGAGGAAGGACGGCCATGTTGCATTCATTTGGAATATTTTGAAGCGAGAGAAAAAAAATGCACATGAGAAATTCCCTGGATGTTTATGTAAATTGTATTGTGAATATTGCGATAATGAAATAGCTGACCAGTAAACAGGACGACTCACCGTTTTTTTGTGCCGCAGCCTGGTCGAGAGCAGACGGAGCCCAGGTGTGTTTGAGGATAGACGCTGGGCTGTACAGACTCAGCAGGTGGTTCAGCTGGGCCGGACTCAGGGCAGGGTACTCAGACCGCAGGTCCAGCCAGGATTTCTACACAGACGAGAACATGGGCGCACATTTAAACTGAGATCTGTGAATTCTTGATCATTTGTGAAACTACTTCTGCATCCTCTGCACATACACTCTGCAGGCTCTACATCACGCAGTATTTCAACTCTACTTTCCCTTTTACATTTTATTCATTTATGTGTTGAGCACATTATAGTTTATAAATGAAGCATTGCAGAAGGGCCTGAACCTGCACTATTTCTAATGGCCAGAAGGGGGTGGAATTCACTAGGTGCAAAAAAATCAGATGTCAAAAGACATCAGATTGCGTGAATCTAGATAAGGGAATAAAGGCTACTCTTGACTTGACTTTTTAAATCATTAAATGTCTTCCTAATCAGTATATGGACCTAAAACTAAGTTTCACATCTTAAATACAGCTTGATGGTAATGTTGTTGATGATGGTCCCAGTCTGGTTAAAAAATAGATAAATAAAACCATTCAAAATGCTGAGGACTAAATGTACATGTTTTCACCTTTAAATTAGAACTAAAACCACCCTCCTTTCACTCCTATCATGCATGCTAACTCAAACGTCCCCTCCTCTTTAGCGTAAACATTTCATCAGTTAAAGCAGAGGTCACCACCCACCACCTGTGCCTGGACCTCATCCAAGGAAAAAGATGTAATTAAAAAGTCTCCCTGCATTGTACGAGCCTCAATCACGTTCTGACAAGACTTATTACGCATTTGACAATTTTATTTTTAAAAAAACTTTTTTTGGGGGGGGGGGGGGGGGGCGGGCGTATTTTACTTATATTAAGTCATGCTCTTTGCCTTATGGAGCTGGAGTGATCAATTCATGCTGATTTTTATCGATATGTTTCAAATTTGAAAACACTTTAAGGTTCATATAACTGCACCTGCCTTATTTACAGAGGATTTTATCTTTTCCTTGTGTGCTAGATTTGTGTCTCCCAGATGTTGTGATGTTATTTTCATAAAAACTGGAGCTGGTGTGCCGTCATGGACATAGCTCTCTTTGACAAGACATTCAAATTTCTGGTTAAATAAAGGTTTAAATTAAGAAAATAAAAAAACCTACACATACAGCCGATATCTCTTTTCTTCCTTTTCTGCTTTTCATTTTACAGCATTTGCATAGTCACACCGTGTCTTGAGGAAGAGAATATGTTTACCGACAACGTATCCATTACATTTTTATGACAGCAGCACAGCAACAGTACGACAGCTTGTAGTAGAAGTTCCTGCTTCCTTGAGTAGGTTTGTTTTAAGGTCAAATACAGATTTTTATAATTAATGATGTTATTGGTAAAGTTTATAGTTGGACTATTAACTTAGCAGCCTCTGCTGTGTGTGTGTGTGTGTGTGTGTGTGTGTGTGTGTGTGCGCGTGTGCGCCCATGCATGCATGTGTGTCTATTCTTACCTGTAATAAGATCTTTCTAGGTGTAGCTAGCAGATTAATTGCAGACGAGAGAGTGTGTGTATGCTTCAAGGCCAGTTCTCCCAGTCCAGCTGTGTGAGCCCAGTCAAGGAGAACGTTAAGATTGGACCGCATGCGAACACCCTGGGACCACTGGAAGAAGCCCCGCTCCGAGCCTGTGTGTAGATCAGGAGAGAAACATCTTTAAAGTCAGCTATTTTCTCAGCTGAAGAGCTGCAGGACAAACTGAAGTAGACCTTTGTCAAACACAGTTTAAGACTCGAGTTTGTGAGTTTTTCGTCTTCTCCATCTCAACACTTTGGATCCAGAATGGACCATACTTGGTCAAGTGGTTTTGAAAAGCATAACCATGTCTGACAAGTCAATACTGTAGCAACTTGTAAATCACAGTTATCCACACCCTAAAGCATAAACTGCACAATAAATGACACCATCATTTACTGAATGAAAATGATACTGTAGTGAGTCAAACTTTAAACTATAAACAGAGATGTACACACGTTGGGAAAAATCCCACTTAAAAAATCAAGTGGCATTAAGGCTCATTTTCTTATCAACTTAAAATACATTTGGACTTCTTTTGTCAATCAGTGATGTTTTTTTTTACCCCCTGCTGGTCGATAGGAAGAATGCAGGTTTGACACTTTCATTTTGACTTTCACTTTTGTAAAACAAAAAAAAGGAAAAGAGTGAACCCACTTTTGTAACAACAATTTCTTATTTTGAAAAATAGTCAGTGGCAACAATAACCTCTGTTATGTTTTGTGGCTTGGTATCATTTATAGCATCAGTATCATTGAGGAATGTGATAGTGAATAACAGGGTTGAAGTTTACACTGTATCTCATTCCCCTGAAAAGTCTCTTTTAAAATCAATTTTTCTGTTAGGTCTTAAAGCAGAGACATGTATCTTTCGATCTATCCATCTATCTGTTTGTGTTTCTTTGTAGCTACATTAGATTCTGGATATAACCTGTGAAACACTGATACCTCTCTCCATGAGTGAGTTGAAAAGTGACGCATTGATGAAGTAGAAGAGGTAGCCAATGAGCTGCGAGGAAATCTCTGCGTGGAGCTGGCAGTCCGACAGCAGTTTCCAGGTCTCGGTCAGAACCTCCACAAGCTGCTGGATCTCACCAGGGACCTGCAGCCCACCCTTATCCAGGACCGGAGCACTCTCGACAGTCACCTCCAGCTCAGGACTCCCCCTGGACAGGTCGTAGTCCAGAAGGCCAGGCAGAATGGGGTACAGGACCTGATGAGACAGAACTGATTCAGTCAGGGAGAACTGTGCAGCTCAGTGTGGGGTTGACTCACTCGACCAGAGATGGCTAACAATTCCTGTGGGTCAATTTGAGGTTGGAAAAGTTAACAATGTGTGGAGCATGTTCTGATCGCTAGGATGAACTAAACATATAATCCTCTAACACAAATTAAGACCACCCATTCAGCCTCTGCATGTCTGTCTCTGTGTGTTTCTCACACTACGACACAGCTGATCAGGCAGAGAAAAACCAGCAGAAACAAGAGGGACAGAGACTGTTACATTTCCTTCTCTGCAGCCAAAGGTCCTCACTGCTCTTCAGTACGAGCCTGGACAACGATAGCTTTGTTCAGCCTAATTGTGCACAGACATCCCCTTCCCTCCGATCTCACTCTTACACCCACCAAGCTTCCGAGGCCAGCGCCAGCCAAAGATCCACATTCCTAAAAAGCTGAATATGGCTCATGTGGGCTTGGCATGGTGCTGCAGCAGGGCTGCTGAGTGAAGACTCTGAAGGAATCCATACTGAGAGGATCATCTTACATTTACTGTAAGGCGCCGCAGGCAG